ATTTTCAACGATTAAAGAGTCTATTATTTCATATTATTTGGACGGTGTTTTTATTAGTAAAGGCGAAATAGCTAGAGTAATTAAAAATAAATTTCACGTCAAGACTTACAGAGTTGTACTCAAATATAATAATAATGATAGCATTCGCTGGACCTTTTCCGCTGAAAAACCGGTTTCTAAAATTAGGTACTCATAGCGGCATAGCCCGTTTCGCCAAATATAAAAAATTCCGTTTCCGTTTTCGTCCATATGATTTTTTTTTAAATGCGTTTCCGCTAAATGTTGTTTACGAGAAACATGATATAGGTAGCTAAAAAATGTACCATTACATTACGTATACACTATACATATCAATAAAAAAATAATTGTTCATTATAAGCTCATAACATTCATAAACAACCATTGAATTTATTTAAAAAAATAAACATCATGCCATTAAAATAAAAAAAAATATATTAATTATTAAAAAAGGCATATAGTATATACAGCTGGGCCCGTCAAAATAAACGCATGTTTTTAAAAATTATGCTAAATTAAAAGTAATTGCAGTAAAAACAATTATATTATATCAAAAAATGCAGAAATGTATGCAGTTTTTTTTATAGTAATAAATTATTGTAGGTTCTGGAATAACGTCAATTATATGGCACCCTTGGACCGCAATGCAAGAATCGAGGCGTTTCCGAAACGAGACCATCATCGCGTCGGTCAGAATCTGTCCTGAAATTTCTCTCACAACTTGTTTGATTACGTCCTTCAATCCATCAAAATGTCGTGGCTTGTGTTAATAAATTTTTGAATTTAAATGACCTCACAAGAAAAAAAATACATGTTGTCAGGTCAGTAGAGCAAAGGGGCCATGGAATGTCCCCAAAGCGTGAAATGAAACGTACAGGGAGTTTTTGCGAAGAACTTTCATTTCACAGCACGATCTGTGTTTGATGTTGCTCCATCTTTTAGAAACCATACTTTTCTGACACAGACATATCAACGTTAAAGCTTAGAAAAAAAAAAATTGGGTTAACATTTCGGAATAACGCTTTGAATTCATAGTGGTCGTTTGTCTGTTGTCTTCAAAAAAAATAAGAACTAATAATTTGACTAAAGTTATTTTCAGAACCCAAATTTTGTTACTATAAAAAAACTGCATACATTTCTGCATTTTTTGATATGATAAAATTTTTTTAGTGCCATTATTTTTGGCATGGCATCATTTTGAAAAACGTGCGTCTGTTCAGACGCAACATGTAGTTACATTTCATTAAAATAAATATATACGTAAGTAAATTACTGTTTTTTTTTTTTTTAAATGTTATGATAAAAATATACAAAATCTAAATGAGTTATAGTTTCTATAAGAAAAATGTCTAACTAAGATTAACTGTTATTACAAAAGAAAACCTATAGATTGCATAACTTATTATTTTAAATTAATTGTTTTCTTTGCTGCTTTTTTACTTGTCACTACTTAAAAATTAAAATTGTTCTATCATAAATTGGAATTGAACCTTTTTAATTGTTGGTAGAACGAGCTGCAGCATAAACAGTCAATATTATTTCGGTGGAAACGGTAATAAATTACAATGTGTGTTTATCGGGAGCGTATAAGGCAGGACAATTTGATCGCAACGACTGTATCATGATAATTCAGAGATAAAAAAATAACCTAAACAAAACGCATCGCCGCGTAGAATGACGTCATACGCTTCATAAAGAATACAATATATTATAACTACGAGTAAGTAAGTACACGTATAATATTGTATTATTTTTACGCACCACGCGTATAACGTAGTAGCCGCGTATCTGTGCCTAAAACACGAGTAATAGGCGCACACCCATCTCGTAAACACGACTAATTAAAATAACCGCAGTACAAACTTATGCACACGATACGTACGTATATGCGTAGTGTATATACCTAACCTACGTAATGACGTACATGCACGCATCGGTCGACGACTTACCTAAAATGTATTTCGTCGTCTGGCGCGGTTTACGGTTCGCGACTGCAGCAGTGCAACTACTCGTATATAATATAAGTATTACCGTGGAAGAAAATCGAGTTCGTTATAATAATAATATAAATGCGTGCACAAGAATATATATTTAGAGACCGGTAGGCAGTGGCTACTTCTCTCGGGTACGTGACACGAAGAAAAAAAAAAACCAAGCGTTACGAACTCTCTCTCTCTCTTTATATATATATGCGTGTGTGTGTGTGTGTGTTTACCCACAGCATTACAGCTAAACTACCCGAAAAGAATTAAAAAAAAAAAAAAAAAAAAAAAAAAACAAAACAAACGGCCGGGCTACAAATTATTGTCGTCGAGTCCCGTGCGCAGTAAACCCGGTGGCGGCGTCGGGGTCTCGGCGGAGACGGAAAGGAGATGAAAAAAAAAAGTAAAATGACTATACATACATGTTCTACACGGTTATTTAGGTAAGCGCAGCCCGGCGTACCAATATTCGTGAGAGAGGAGCTGTTTAATTCAGCGCCCGTTATCTGCTTTTATCTCTCGAGCAGCATCGCGGACCGCCGCCGCCAGTCACTGTGCGCGTACACACATAATATATACATATTTGTATTATGTACACGATGATACGACTACGATAATAATAATAATAATAATAATAATAATATTATAGACGACCGTAATACGACGACGATATTCCTTGGGTACCGGCCAATAACACATCGAAGACACACGCACACACGTACAACGCACCTACATAATATAATACATCAGTACACGCGTAAAGACATATTATGTACCACGGTAATAGTAATAATATGCGACGTCCTGTGTCTGTGTGTAAGTGTGTGTGCGTGTAACGCGCGCGGTCTCCTGTATAAACAATAATAATATTATAAGTGTATACCGTAAATGCGTTTACGAGCGCCGCGCCGCGCGAGGAATCCGTAAAAAAAAAAATAATAATAATAATAATAAAGGAAAAAAAACAAACGAAATACTTATACTTAAAGTTATAAAATGCGATTTTATTTGAGTGGAAACCAGTTTTGTTTTCGTCTCCCTCTGTCGTCCTGCCACACATACCATTTATTTTTATATTATAACGCTCCTTACACCGCACATATTATGTCTGTTGTGCATACGCAACGAAAACGACTGTGGTAAATCTTATTGTGTACGTGTGTTTGTGGGTGCTCGTCGTGGTCCGGCGATCAAAAGATCCAGAGACGAAAAGCGTGTACCCATTTATATATATATATATATATGTATGTATGTTAGAGGTCCGGACATGATATTCGACGATTGATAGTTTCAATAACGCGAGAATGTTTACCGACGTCGGTTTTTTTTTTTTAATCCTTTCTCTGGCGACGATAACACGAAATGTCACGAGTGCCTCATACCATAAATCATAATATAGTATACAGGTGCCTATAGCCTATACATTATTTTAATGATAAAATCTCGCAAACGTCAATCGATACGTCTTATTGTTCAACTGCTACCAAGACATCTGCAGTGCGTTTATCAAACTTGATACAACAATAAAATAATAATATAAAATATTTCAATATTATCTAAGATACTTGCACATAGTTCGTATTCTTATATAAAACGTATATTCTATGTATAAGAACCTACCTATGTGTTGTATGAAATATTATATAATAATAATTAATAAACATTTTATTGTTCCGTTATTAATATATATTAATGTGTAAAATATACATTTTTGCAAATGAAATTTTTAATAAAACTTTGATTGATAATTGTTATATTCTAATATTTATAATTAACATTTAGCAGTATTTATAACAGTTGTATTCAATTTGTATTGAAAAAATTAAGCCATTATTCTAAATGTTGTCTTATCCTTTTAAAAAGTAAAACATTTCACTTGATGTCATTAAAAGTTCTTTGGTGTTGTACTGAAGAAGCAAAATGCAAAGACATAAATGCTGCTCAAGCAGAAATAGAAATATTAATTGGAATGTGCACTTATAGTGATTCAAATACATTTGCTACTCTTATAATTAAATCTGAAGAAATGAAACACATTTTACCATAGGCTAATAAATTCTGTAAATTAGCTTGACTGCATCAGAAAGTATCACAACAAATGAAAGATCATTTAGAAAAAAATTTCTATTTAATATTTAAAAAAATCAAGATAGCCATTTTGCAAATCTAATTTTTAGAAAAATTCTAGTGTCAAAAACTTTTAACTAAGGTTGAGTCAATAATTTTTAAACAATTTTTAAAGTTTGCTTAAATTCTAATTTATTACTTGTCTGTTAGTGTTACAGCGATTATCCAGAAAATCTATTTGAAATGATATAAAATTGTGCAATTTCGAAAATCGTAGAAAATAAACGCCTGAATGGCTGAATATTTTTCAATTTTTTTTTGCGGACATTTTTTAAAACTCATATCAACAAAATGGCAATTTGATTGAAGTTTTTACAATGTTGTTTAAATAACTTTCCAGCCAGTTAATTTACATTATATGTGTTATAATAACTGAATAATATAAAATGAAATGATATACCAAATACGTTTATTTTAATAATATTTAACTGTTTGTATAAATAATACGAATAATATACGAAAAAAAATAAAAGTTCTTGAAATAGCTCTAAGTAAATTTTGTTTAAAAATTTTTATTGTCTGACTGAGTTAATAAAAAAGGAAATGTGAGGATTTGTAAATAACGAAGTATTTGCAATAATATATTTTTAACTACAAACAAATTTTATAATTTTGACTGATTTTATGTCTTAATAATACGATATAGTGATAAGATACAATGTACTATCGATTTTTATATTGTTGTCATGTCAAGCAAAGAACATATATAGTGAGTCCCATAAAGTTATTGATAGTGGCTATTTGAATATCTAACGTAACTTAAATAATAATAATTTAATAATTTAATTCTAGTTACTACCTAGGCAACCAAAATAAACATAATATACAATACTAAATAATAAATAACAAATATTCATACATCAGATCGCCGAAATGAATAGGGTACAAAAAACTTATCAGCCATCGTCAAGAATTGAACGGCTAGCTGAGCCGTTGGCACGATGGCGCAAACCGCTGATTCGAGTGAATGTCGTTTTCCAGGGTAAGCGAAACTATTTGCTAATAAAACTATAATAACAATAATGTAGTATGAATTACGAATAAGCATCCTGGTAAGTGAATAGAAAAACACATACTCCTAGGCATCAGCATATATTATCTAAATCTGCAATACCTCTAAAACAAATTTTCTCCATTGTGTAAATTATTATACTAATGACTAGGGCTTGAAAATTGTAGGAATTACAAATCGTTCTGTATGCCCTCAGTTTATAGCATACTAAGCTAGAAATCTGAACTGTACAATAGACAGTTAAAAAAATTGAAAATTGAAAATACATATTTTGCATATTTTATCAATTTTAGCTAAAAAAAAGTCCATATTTCATTAATTTTATACGCAATTTATTATGCATATTTCATACTTTTCTAAAAAAATTGATTATTTTTTCTTAACCTTTATACTCCAATTAATATTGAATATAAAACTCAAAATTATCAACGAAGGTAATCATCCCAATTTAAAAAATATTAATAATAATATCAGTTTAATAAGATGTCATAATGCCAACCAGTTATAATTTTTTCACATATTTAACATAATTTTTAATACATAATATGTTGTAATTTTTTCGTGCATATTTGCATACATATTTTGCCTTTAACAGATCAAACAAACATAACATTTAAAATAAAAGTACATATTTGTGTAATTTATATCATAAACCGTGAAAACTTTTTTGTATGACATTATGCGTAATTATTTATTGTACCAAAAACTCTATGTGATAGTAAATTATAATGGCCAGAAGATCCGTCATTAAAAGTTTAGTTTTGCAATTTGTATGTTATTTCACAAAATATGACTACAATGACGCTCTTTAAAGATATAGTAAAAATATCACAACTTTAAATTGTAAATAATCTAACTAAAATTAAATATCATTGGTTCCGAATCTCAATCCAGCCCGGTCATCAGTTTTTTGTTACTCAATTCATTTTTGTTGTTTTTTATTTCATCTGAACGTTTTTATTTGAGTTCGTATTCGTATCATCTATAACACTGTGTACCTATACATAATACACATCATAATATCATGATATCGTACATATTATTTTACAGAGATTGATCACCAGATACTTTGGTACAAAAAGACCCCTAGTTCTTTCGATAAAAAAATTATAGTTATACACACACCGCCTCAACACACAAAAACCGAATCTGGCGTATCTCGAGCAGCTCTTAAATATGAGGCGTCAGAAAATATTAGGCGATTGGCCAAACCCCGGTCAATACCAAAAACGGACGATGAAAAATGCTCTTCTGTGAAGTCATCGTCGCTTGTTTACAAGCCATCGCTTCGAATACTTCAACTTTCCAAGCCCCGGACACGCGTGGTGAAGACTTGATCATCGCTTCAATTATTATTGTTATCAGTAGTACGAAATAGCTTGTTCTGGATCCCCCCGCGCTTCAGCCCCCGCCCACCCAGTGGTTGCCTTCTCTTACTCCCCCGGCCTATACTACGACTCCCCCACCTAACGTCCCGCCTATGGTTGCACGGAATGTACATACATAGTATATCATACATCAGCACGTCATCAGAGAAAACAACCTATATACAGAGTAATTCAAAATTTATGTAATATAAATATTCAAATTAGTAAAAAATATATGATACAAAAGTTTTTTGATTTTAAAACATCTATTACGATTTCATATTTTTATAATTGTTTACAATATTTTAGGGGGGTTTTGGAGGGTCAACTTAAGAAATTCAAATGGAAACCTATGATATTTTTGTAAACATAATGTGAAGACATTTTTTAAATAAATTTTAGTTCATGAATAACATTAATTGATGCAAAACTCTATTCTTGAAAGCTATTCAAAATTTTTAGAAATTGAATTTTAAATTATTAACCACACGACGCGCGCTAACAGGTAGCAAAATAAATGGTGTTGTCACTTATCGCTATCATACGATTCGCATTTCTTTCTCGAACCCGTATCAGAATAAAACTAATAATAATAATAATAATTTTTTATTAGTTATCTAATTGATCATAATTATAATTTGTTTGTCGATGTTTAACTCCAAATACTAAATATTTATGCAGGAGTGAAAGGGTTTACCTGGGGTACTCCGTGAACCCAGCCATAATAATGTTTCGGATCCCTGTTAAAAAAAAATATATATAAATAATACTTAAATCCATATTAAGTATGGTAAATTATATTTTCCTTAAAAAAAACCCAAGTCTTTATTAAATTTTTCATTAAACTTAAAATTGACATTAATTAATAAACTAATAATAGTTCTCCTCGTCATATAAAAATTGAAAATTGCAATGGATCAAAACGTATAAAATAAAGAATACATATGTATTTTGATTAATCTTTTATTTTAAGTTAAATCCCATTTTATTATTAATTTTATTGAAATAACACAACTCGTCGTGCAACTAGTAGATGTAAATATGTCACGTCCACGTGATACACAACTACCAAGCAATTTAATCGACTCGACTAATTTCACCATAATAGACTTTACCGACCGCGAGTCTATCAACATCGGGCTCGATCCGTCTAAAGATTTCAACGTATCTATACAAATAATTACTCCATCATGGTTCGTATGCTTGTCAACTGATTTTTTATGACGTATTTACTCGTTGATGGGAAATTATCAGAAATGTAATTCTACGATACGATTTATTTCATGGGGATATCTACAAACTAATGTTAAAAACCAACGGATAAACAACTGATCAGTTGTTATATTATGTTTTACACAAATTATTATGTATATCTATAATTTTATTGTTAATACTTGATTTTATATTCGGCTGAACAAGAAAAATATGCATTTAATTTTAGTAATCCGAATCAGTAAAATACACAGCAGTGTTTTTGGCATTTTTTGAACTATATACCTACACCTTATTATGAATTTAATATAACAACATAGGTAAAATCGAAAAATACGGGTTATCTGCAGTAACTTAAAAATAAATAGCAATTACAACTGGACTAGGGACACTTGCGGCTCTCTTTCAGATCCCTTTCTCGAAGTCACGTTACTGTAGCAGTATACGTACATAATACTGTATACATATAGGTAGTAGCCAGTAGGTTGTAACCTCACGCGAGCGCCGATGAAACTAATATTGTGTACGTTTACAATAATAATAATAATTGCCGGCGACTTGGGCGTCAAAGAGTATACGTTTTCTGGAACGCTGTAGGCTATGTAATATTTTGCAAACGCACAGCTGTATCATATAATATTAAGTATAATATCGTCGCCATGCAAGTCGTTCTCCTTGCAGCAGGATTGCAATAATAATATAATAAACCATATATGAGTATACGAACCATGTACTATGTGTACAAACGCATTTTCGTGAAGAAGCTCAGTTAACCGTTTTGCCGCTTTTCATTTTTTTTTTTTTTTTGTGTTCTTTCTTTGTATTAATTTTTTTTATGCCGACATCGTTCCACGCGCTTGTCGTGTTGTACGAATAATACTATATCATCGAGTGTGTGTGTGTGTGTGTGTGTGTGTGTGTATGTGCGTCTATATACTGTGTATATAATATGATGTAATATACGCTCAAACGACATATTATGCACGCGATCCCCGAAAACCGTTTATTAAATATTTCAATTTTATGGTGCCTGATTTTTGTATCCTTTTCGTGTGCACGTATAATATTATATAATTGTTTGTGTGTGTGTGTGTGTGTGTGTGTGTCAGTATCACGTTTATTTTTAGTTATTTTCGCCTGAACCGTACGCTTTTTTCTGACGTCCTTATAACTACGGTTATTAAAGTCGTAAAAACTTATATAATTAATACCGTATCGTTTCCGTTCCGAGCGTATAACTGCGTTATACGACCGCGTATTAGGTACTGTATCGTTTTCGTCCGCCCTCTTTTAATTCCGTTTCGCACGCGATACATCGGGCGCGCACGTGGTGACATCTTCTACGATCTCCTCGGAATATTGTCGCCTGTTTCCCTTGGGCGCACAGTCCGCGCACACGCGATCGTTAATTCAGACATTTGCGTACGTATATTAAGCAAAAAATAAAAATGACAACGAAGTAATAAAAACAGAAAAAATTAAAACCATTGAGGTAAATGTAAAAAGAAAAAATATATATTACAAAGGGGCTCGTACAAAACCACTTTATAAAATACATTATAATATCATACAATATTAGTATTATTACGAAAGTGCATACTGCATAGTATTAATGCGAGTGTACGACACTGCATATTGTTATAATTTATAACATAAATAATAATATTATATTTTGTGGCAGCAATACAAATGATGCGCGTGGAGACACGGAAATTTTACGAATCGCCCTCCAGTGTTTTCGGGCAATTTGCTCCGACGGCAGCGACTTAAATATTTTATTGCTTCCGATCGATACGTGCATCCCTTCCATTTCCGAGCGCGCGTTAAAAATAACGACGAAAAAGAATAGTCGCTAATCGGATATATGCGTTTTGTGCGCGGGCCGGACCCCGAAAATAACAGAAATTCTCAATCTGCCACACTTCCGATGACAATTTATAGAAATTAAACGTCACCCTATCTCACATATTATATACATATATGTTCGCGTATATATTGTACGGCGCGCACACAACATACGCTGAGCACCGGATCTGATAAGTTTTTACAGCGAACAACCCCTGATAAGCAATATAGAGCTACGAAATCATCCCATTGTTGTCGTTTATACCATGTACGAGCGTATGTGTGTGTTTTGTGTACATTCGCATATTATTAGATATATAATCATATATCGACGGTCATCTTGTGGTTTGGCTTCCTTTTTACGTTCTAATGTCTCTCTCTCTCTCTCTCTCTCTCTCCCTTTTTGACTTTCAAACCATCACTAAACCTACCCCCATTACTTACCTCCCCTAAGGGCTTGACCCGATAATGTACACTTCATAATATTATGTATTATATATATGCATGAAGTTTTGACCTATGAAAACTCGTATAATATATACATAATATTATTATTGTCTGCTTATGCGACTATATACATATAATATCGCAAAATGATTGCAGCCGCCGTCGCTGTTGACCCTGGCCTGGGGGGTGAATGTTTTTTTGGACCTCGACTACGACGACTCTTACAATATAAAATGCGACGACGATACGATCAAGGAGACCGTCGGTGACCTTTTTCTGGGATACGTTGTTAAAAAATGACAAATCGAAAATTTAAAAATGATCGTCCGTGTATACAGATATAGATATTGATATATATATATATATATAATATATATTATATATATATATATAAACATGACATAAAGCACCATCCTCCGGCAAAAACAAATATGATTTGATGCACACAAAATATTCATAGAATATTTTAAATATATATACATATATAATTGATATAGAAGGTATATATCTATATGTGTGTATTATTAAGGTTATTTTTTTATTTTTCTATAAAGAATACATTTTTTTTGGATTTGGTATTGGATATAAGTAGCGTATATATATATATTCAATATTATATATAGACAAATAAAGCAATACATGTTAAACGCAGAACTTTGGGATATTTTAAAGCAATATTGTACTCTTGTTACATAAATAAGATACAATATACTAATATTCTATGATCACAAACTGATGAATTTCAAATTTGAAATAAAATAATCTACATATTTCGTTGAAATTAACGTTAAAAAATTGTTTTCATGAACGTAACTCAGTGAAAGTTTTTAATTTAGAATCAATAATAAACTTTATATTATTTTTTCATTTATAAAATATTTATTTTATAGTATGAAGTATTTTCAGAAAACTTAAATTAATTGTTATGTTAAAATTATACATGATAATGATGTAAGCGTAGGTAACTTTGCTATCTCATATAGTCTAATAGTGTTATTAAGGAACAATTTAAGGTTCTTTAGAATGTAAATAAGTAAATAATATTAGCGATATAGCTTATTATAGAAAAATAAAGGACTAGAAAGAAAATTACTATTATACTGCAGCTCACTTAATCTATACTGCGTGGTCTAGTCGTAGTCTACAGATGTAATTTAAAAATTATACGATAAATATAATAATACTCGAGTTAGTGGTTTAATAATACATACTACATAGCGTGAATGTTGACTAGGTTTTAACTCTACTCTGAACTAAGTTTTACGCGCTTCGCCAAATGGATGATTTTAACAACCTCACTCGACACAATTATACGAGTGTGTACAGAGATTATTATAATTATTATTATAACGCGTGCGTACCTAAACTTCTCTTTGAAGTTTTGAGTGTTTGAAGAAGCTAACACAATACATAATACTCGCATATATGTAGTAAATACATCATATATAAATATAATATCGTTAGTC